CTTTAAAAAGACATTAACCAGATAAAGAAAACTTATAGGAAATGATGGTATCTATTGCGGTGAGTAGTCTTTTTTAGGTTGACATAGTATGTCGCACAGAAAATGTGAATGTCACTCTTGTTTGGTAGTTAGGTTACCATTACTAACTGTTCCCATCTTTTGACCGTGCTGGGTGGATAACAGTGGATTTATTCCTTCTAGCTCTCCACTCTAAAACCACCGTCCTACCTACAGAACTGTGACTTTTCGTGGAGAGCACCTCCAGCTGAATACGGTGCTATACCCATTTGCTGACTCCATAAAGTCTGAGCAGATAGCCTCAAGTGAATTGTCTACATCCAGCTATGTTCCCATCCGATTGATCGAGTGACTACCAGCTATGAATTTTTCTGCAAGCCGTGTCCATGAAGAAAATCACCTCTTATATCGTTGTCAATAAAGGTGGACGGCTCACTGTCACACTACATCCCTTTTCTGTCAAGCTCGAAACACTACTGGAGAGCCTAACTTCTACTCTACTATGTACAGCACACCAGTTTTTCAGAAGCATGAGGCTTGAGTGAATAAAACATCTTGGTGAAATGTCAAAGAGGAACTATCGAGAAACATAAGCATCTTTTGCTGTTTCAGAGTCGGCAACAGCATACTTTTTCAAAAGAACGGCGGTCAGAGCTCTCTTGGACATTTTTGAAGAAAAACGACCTGGTTTCCTTTGTATGTGAATATGAGTATGTGAATACGAACAATTGTTCTTACTCTTACTCGTGAGATGATGGTGGATAAAGTCAGCACAGCATCACACCATAAGTTGAGAAGGATTAGTTAGAGAAAAAACCGTCGAAGAAGGACAACTGCACTTCGATCCTGAGTGGCATCAGCCATACTGCGTGGCGCTGTACATGCTACCAATGATGTCTGTCGTTATCTATTCTTCAGTTCTTTGCAATACTCTCATGTTTCCATGACGTATTGTTGAATATTGAGGTGTTTGAGCACAGCTCAGATCACCTGATATGAAGTTCATCACCTCAGACTCGACGCCTTCGAAGAAGTGTACCCTGATAAGCCACTTTGTGCTTAATTTGTTCTCTTTCGGCATGCATTATCTCTCTTTTGTTGTGGGTAAACGGATAGTCCATAATCTATGGTAAATGTGGTGAGAAAGGCAGGCTAGTTGGATGACTGTATACGCAAGTTTACATGCCTAATAATTACCCAATGGCTTTCCTTGTTTTTCCTTAGATGTCCTCCAGCTTCCCACCAGAAAGGCCCTCTATCGATCTTCCAAATGCTCCAAATATTTCTTCACGCTATGTCAGCACTCAAGCTGCCATTCCCCAAGCAATTGGAACATGCTTCTTCACTTAATAGGTTCTCCCAATTCGCTTAAGCTGATATTAAAGGAAAGGAGATGACGAAAGTGTACAAAATTGCGCTGGAAATGTAGTGTACTCCACAACGGACAATTTCGTACCAGTTTTACGGAGAAATTTGTAAGCTAAATGCACTAAGGTTCTATGTTGCTCCAGTGACACCTTCTTTCCGCTGTGACTATGCTTCCTGACTCCGCTTGAAGCTTACCTTGCAGTGAAAAACTATGCCACCGGACTCCTAGAGAAAAATGGAAGCTTCATTGTCTTTTGGTGTGTCGTAGGGCTCCCTATAAAGAGTCACCTGACTGGGTTCATCCCAACACGCGGTGCTTTACGCCTACTCTCGCTGTACTCGGCCAATTGCTGGAGAATGGAGGGTGCTAGTGAAGGCACAAGGTTTCTTTTTGTACTTTCTCTCCAGAGGCGAGTCCCTTGGCAACTTCTCCTCTATTTCGGCACTACTGCCTACGCTCTCCATCCCATCCATTTGAGTGGAAGTGATCTTATGGAAGTTCTGTGCTCCACGTGAAGAGCGTCACCAAAACCTGCAGCAGAATCGTCTAATACTTTCTCATTGTCGGAAATTAGTGCACCAAAAACTTTGATTGAAATCGTTGACATGGATGTTTTCTGTGAGACGACATATTTAGGAATGGTATGTTCTGTAGGGCTACCAAGTAAACCCTCCCCATTGACTTTTTAGACTCGCATTCATAGCGGATACGTGGAAAACTGCAACAAGCTTGACCAGCC